GTAACACTGCTTCACGTAATTTTTGCGCACAGTAGATTCATCCGGCACTTTGCACTGTGTATACTTCTCTATGAAGTTTATCAGAGTAGGACTGGTTAGTTTCCACAGCGGAATATCGGCCGCTAAAAAGACTTTGCATAAATCAAAGGGAAACTGTGAAAAACTATTAATCGAAAATTCACTAAGCAATTTTTGAACAGGAGCACTTTTCGTGGATTTAATTTTAATATTATCTTTGTGTATATTAGTGTTCAAATGCTGAAGAACTTGAAAGCGTTTTTCAAAACCGTTTCCTCACACGCTCGGCAATAAAGAATTTCGTTATCCATACTTATCATCTCTCCTTCGAACTCCCGCTGATACAGCTGTAATTTAGTTTTCTGACTTACTTTCACTTTCGGCATGAGTACAGAAAGCTAAACAAACTTAACTACAGACTAGTCACCACTAATGTGAATGGCCCCCAGCTTCAAATGAAGAAGCGTAACGAACCTCATGGAGACTTCGGAAATAAATAATTGAAGTCCCTTATCGGTTGAATAGTATTAAATTGATTGCTGCTACATGTGAACGCTTCCGACTAATCCCTTCGCGGCCACTTTGATGGTACGCGGATGAGGCAAGTTACGAGTAGAGGGAATCATCAGGAAACATGAATCATGACGAAATGTTGAGTCAAATATGCAACATGTTCTAATACGGAAAAGAAAAATTGTATACACCCGACCTTGATTGAAAGTTTGGACATAAAATTAAAAAATATATACGATGAACATTTTAAAAAGGAAAATATGCAGTATAAATAGAGATCTTCGAAAATATGATGCTTACTCACAAAACAGGCGAAATAAGCATTTATATTGCAACGTGTTTCGTTACTGAAGACGCCGTAGAGATTGTTAATTGGTTTATTCAACAACCTACAAGTAACGGCTACAATTAATTATCACACAGTTGCGGAGTTTCACACTTTATAACCCTATTCGCAAATCAATTCACTCTGTCTTCAGTAGTCTACAAGTTTACAGTAGGGGAGCTATGTAAGTGTCCCTGTATCACACACTCCCAATTACACAACTACACACACGTCCGGTTCTTCTTTCCGCGACGGCTGTTATATTCCAACTCAACTCGTAGGCTGTTGGCTTGAGAACTGTTGATCACACACTCACTCGTAGGCTTGCTCGGAACTAACTCGGAACTGAACTCGGCGATGGCCACATTTCAACTAACTCACGCTTACTGCTCAGCCGGCTTTATTCCGTTCGCTGTTGCCTGTTACGTAGCAACACTGTTGGAAGCTGGTTACGACTACGTAGCGTTGAGCGTTACGTCACAGCGGAAGGGGGGGAGGGAGCGCTGACTCATCCGCCACGTCACTGTGGCCTGAGGTGCCACGTTGCTGCTGGGTAGGGAGGGGTTCTCCGTTGCGCAACCAGAATGCTGGGACTCGACTAACTTCGGCTCCGCTCTGCGCGTCATGGCTTGCGGGGGGCGGGGAGGGGCATCATATATAGTGCAACACGTCACAATATATCCAAACGAGCATACTTTCTGTTTGCAAGAGAGAAATATGCATTTGCATTAAAATCCGGCCTCTACTTATGATCCATGACTGCATATGCGTTAGCTCTGCTAGTTGTTACGTGTTATTTGCCGAGATAGTAAACACTTCCCTACTCTGACACAACAGCAGAGGAGCTGCTGCTACTGTTAGGCAACGAGTCGGTAAGCAGTTCCCCTCTGTGACGTAACAGTAATGTGCCACGTGTCCCACTTGTCCGTTATATATACATCGGCTGTAGCAGTGATGTCAGAAGGGTCAGAAGCGAGTGGGTAGCCAGCACGGACGTTTGGACGGTTCTGCAATTGAGTAATAAAGTGACGTTACACGAATACGCCTCGAGGTCTTGTTTCACGACAAACATATTGAATAATCAGGTATGTAGTTGCTTACAAATAAATAACATTTTTTAGTGAAATTACAAACTGTTTTAGAGGGGTTTTAAAAGTTTGTTATCAACTGTCTTTAACCTCTGAAATAAAAACAAATATCAAATAGTCATAATTGTAGGTTATCATAGTAAAGGGAAATATGAAATCTTTGTGATGATTTAAATCTTGATATATACTTCAGCCTATAGGTTCGAAGGTCGCCTAGAAAGTAATGCAACATATTTATTTTCCCGACCCAGTTTTGTTGATTAAAAATATTATTTTGCATGCTGCAGCTTTTAAGTGTCCCGGGTTTATCCACGTAGTTGCAAGGATTCCTGCTAGGTTGTGGAGAAGTAGGGAAGTTTCAAAATGGCGTGTGTAAGTGTGATGGCTGTAAAAGTAAAGTTATCCCTGTACCAGGCCACGAAGGGCCATAGGGTTGTGAAAAGTTGAGGGTCACACATTATCTAGACTGATCTAGACAAGCGGCTTAAAGATGGCGGTAAGGTCAGCCTTACGCCCCGGCCGCGCTTCGTTCCCCAGGAAAATTAATTAATTAATTCCTGGGACCCATTTCTGTTAGCAGGAAACGTCAATGAATCTAAAGAAACGTTTCCGGAAGATTCGTCCTTATAAATATGTGACGAAAGTGGTTGTGTGCGAGGCCATCACAAAGCTTCAGTGGTCTGGTGCTTCATCCGTCTTACAACCCGGATCTCACTCTTTCAACTACCATCTTTTGGTCTCTTGAAAGATGCAATCCGTAGAAAGAAGTTTCATGGCGACAAGGAATATATATTGAATACAATGTAGCAATTTATACAGCCCATCATATATACCTGGTGATGGGCCTATGTGACTGCAAAATGTAAGTACCCATGAAAACATGGACTAAGTGACGATCTAAAGTTGCACTGGGGAAGGTTTCCTCCAAGTAGTTTGGTTTTCCCTGCCGGTTCTCATTCCACCAAATGCTCCATCTGCTTCTATCATCTGGGGCTGGTACAAACAGACTATGAGAATGTTGCATTTACACACATGTGTTATACGTAAATATCAGGTGCTCAACTAATGTAACAGGATGCTCAGATTCAGTATTATCCCAGAATAGTGACTCACTGTTGTATTGCAGGTTTGCAGAATGAGCAGTATGCCCAGCTTGTTGTCATTCGATGACCTGTTTGGAATCGGTCCGTTCCCTATTGGTGATGAAGACGCAGTAGCGAATGGCCTGGAAAACTATGCTGACTGTATGGACAGTCAGTCATCTGATATGGAAGATAATAATTTGGTCTGTAATGCATCAGAGGAAAGGAAGCAGTCACCAGTATTTGAAGAGTTGTGTGACTTCACAGTTGCGAGTGATTATTCAGACAGCACCCTACCACCTGCCTGTGTAGAGAAGATGCATAAGGGCAAGATAATAAAGCTGAAGGAAGAGCAGCTAGATCTGCAGTGTGGATGGAGGGACTGTGATTACCGCACCAGCAATCTTGACCAATTTGTGCGCCACGTCAGCTTTCACTTACCACACCTAGAGGTCAAACTGAACAAGGATCAGGAAGGTACTGGTTCTGTTGTGTTCCTTAGGATCTTCCCTGCTTCCAGCAGTACATGACAATGTCATTTGTGCAATCATATGCTTGCTCATATCAACTTCTGTTCACTCTTAAAATATTTTAGAAGTATCTAATGGTTTCAAAATAGTAGCAGAAAATGTGGAAAATAATGGAGTGAACATTAACGCTTTGCATGCCATGAGGCAATTCAAATGATTAAGATTGCCACAGTCAAACAGATAGGCTCAATATTAATCACTTAGTACAGCATTTCTAGTGATAGGATCAAATGTGCTGTACTGATGTTTAGAGGAAAGAATAGGCCATGTCGGTATCTGAATCTGTTAAAGTTAATCTACCGACCACACAACACGTTTTTTATTTACTGCCACACTACATGTTTCGACCTCAGGAGGTCATCATCAGGTGTACGAACACAATTTCACAATCACACGCAATCACTTCCTTTCTCCACTAATTTCCATCCTGTATCCTGTTCAGATTCACGCTCAAATAATATGTATAAGTTCTTCTTATACCATATAAGTTAAAAATATATAAGTTAAAAAGCTCTTCTTATAAAATACAAGTTAAAAATACCAATGTCAAAAATTAAGATTTAAAATTCAAAATTCAGTTCCCTGTAGCCAGTTACGTTATTATCACTTGTTTAGAAAGTTCGTGAAAAATAAACTTCACTCGTCACATTGACTGCCCTTTCACTTTTTGAAGGTCTTGTCGTTCTTCGGCGTCCTCTGATGTGGGATCTGTTACGTTCCTTGTCGTGATGGCTACTGATCGCTCCTGATTGTCTTGTTGGGCTGGTTCCTATAGGGTATTAGTGGTGGTGGGGGGGTGCGGGTAGGGGTGGGAGTGGTATTCTGAGAAGGTAAGTATGTGATTTTTGGTTATATTATATTTCTTGCGTTTGATTTGTTTTTTATTAGGATATCATAAATTGGGTTATAACTGTCAGTCAAAGCTTCGTTCATTTGTAGATTTTGCTTAGTTAATTCATATATGTGGAAGCTTTCTAGTGTGTTCAGCATTTTTCCTTTCTTTTCTATGTGGAGTATTTCCATTGCTTTGTCTATGGTGTGGTAATTGTGCGTTGTGTCCAGTATGTGTTGGGCGAATTTTGATTTCTGCCCATTCGTTTTTATTTCCCTGATGTGTTCTTTGTATCTTGTTCTGAAGTTACGTCCCGTTTGGCCGATGTATTTTAGGTCACAATCTTTGCACGTCATCTGGTATACTCCACAAAGGTTGTATTTATCCGTTGTTTCATGTTTTGTTCTTAGAAGCTTTTTTATTGTATTATTTGTTTTAAAAGCTACTTTTATATTGGTATTTCGAAACAACTTAGTGATTCTTCTAGTGCTGAAATTGTGTTCGTACACCTGATGATGACCTCCTGAGGTCGAAACATGTAGTGTGGCAGTAAATAAAAAACGTGTTGTGTGGTCGGTAGATTAACTTTAACATTCGTCTAGTACACAACAGGATGCAAGGAACAATAAAAGATCTGAATCTGTGTTCATTTGAAGGTGATATGAGGTTTTCTGTGCAACAGCATTTATCCCCAGGCACCCTTTGCTTTTCTAGCAGGGAGTTCTGTGGCAGGGCTTGGCACCCAGAGGTTTAGAGATCTGAGGGGCATATTCATGGCTTCATCAGAAGATCATGTGGAGGGACTTGAGGCCGTTACAAATAACATTTACCATGTAAATGGTTCTCTATAAAACCTGCACTGGAGAGGCCAGGGGTTATTTTTAAAGTAGGTTAGGAATTTTGTTAGTAAACGCTCTGTGCTGTATATCTCAGAGCAGAATGGATGCACTCTTGTTACTGTCTATAGTTGTTAGGGGGAAACATCATTAAATTAGAATAACAAGGGTCGTTGCTAGCAACAGATTCACTGCATGATAGAAGTAACTGAGAGAGAAACTAGATTACTTGCTGCTGTTTCACTTGGAAACAAAAATGTTACATGTGAGCATAGTTGAATGTTCAGTGTCTGTATGAGGTGACAGGATATGTGAAAACAAAACATATTAACCTGAAAATAATCTGGTTCCCTTGAGGACTGTAATAAAATAGAACTGGGTTTGTGCAAGGGGATTGGCTTAAGCTGGTTTAGTAAGTGGAAACCAGATTCTATAGTGTTCAGAGCTTTAGCAGATCCAGTTCTTTTGTTGCTGTGAAAGCCCTATTCTGATCCAAATCACTTTGGTTCATGTAATCAGAGCCTGCTTCCCTAACAGTTATATCATTTTGGTATACCTGCTCTGCCCTTATCTCCTGAGTTTTTTTTCTTTCTTTTTTTTTTTTTTTTTNGTTTTAAAGCCAAAATTTTGAATGCAGCTCTCCTGTTTTTTTTTTTGTTTTACATGCATCAACTCTCTCAACATCTTTGTCTGAATCACTGTAACTGTGGTAGTTGGAGAAGCTCTTCCTTTTGCAGTTTTCTCAATTCATTGGATTCATCTGCCTGGGAGTCAAGTACTTTGCAGAACACTTTGTTTTAAGATAACATTCATTGTTCCCTCATAGTAAGGAAACAGACTTTGTGATTTCTGGCTGGAGCTCCTTATATTTGCTATTGTTACCCGAGTTCGCTTGCAGAATAAAACCACAGTGTTTGTTTGTTTTAACCTGCTTTATGAATGTAATGACGTTTGTTGTCCAATATGTAATTTTTTCATATTTATCTAAAATGAGTTTTGCAAGAAATAGGTAATACTGTTTTTTGTGAAGAGGGCAGATGGATAGAGGCTTGGAAGGAAAGGATAATAAATGCTCCTTTTATGTTCCATATATTAAAAGTATCATGAAAAGTATAAATTGGATTGCGAGTAAACATGGTGAAACTACAGACATTTGAAGGCTTTCAGTTTGTATACAGGCATTATGACTTTATGATGCATTGTTGAGGTAAGGTATGTATTTCTATTTCTTCACATGAAGGTGTGTTTTTGCCTGAGGTTGACACCAAGATGAGAGATCCTGTTTCAGAACAGTTACAAATATTGGTTCAGCAGTTGTGGGTAGCATATCTGGATGGCCTGCAGTATTGCACTGTGTGTTGCACTGCAGCTGTCATAAGAAGAGTAATCTGTTCTGAACATCAGACATGCCACAGGAACTTAGAAATAACAGAACTGTGGCTGTATGAGAAAGATTTGATTGCTAATAGCTATAATAATTATATATATATATATGTTTTGAGTTACTGAAGACAGATAATTTGTGTGTTGCAGGTGTATATGTGTGTCTGTGGGAGAAGTGTGGTTTCGAATCTGCAGACTCCAGTGAGATAACAAGACATGTCAATTTCCATTCATACCATACCAAATTAAAATGCATTGGGTCAAATATTTTGGCTCGTTCAGGACTACCAGTAAGTGATGAGCATTCAGCACATGCATGCTTTACACATTTAGTAGAATCTGCTTATGATAATGCTTAATACTGGCTCAGCCTCTTATAAACAAAATTCTCACTAATGTGTTGAGAGAGTGCTTATTTATTTGAATTATTGTGTTTCTGGTTGTTATCCATTGTCCTGTTTCTGTTTAAGATGCAACATTTCAGAGACTGGATTCTGACCATTGAGATAAGGAATAGCTCTCTTGATTGGACCCAGCTGAGTCAGTTCCACCTAAAAATGGAGACTGCATCCAGTTTCTGAAATGCTGGTGCTTTAAATAAAACAGGATGATGGATAATGTCCAGAAGCAGAATAATTGTGTTAATATACCATTGTCACAAACTTTTAGAGCTTATTTATTTGTCCAGATCAAATGCATTCAGTTGTGGATTTAGTTTTCTTAATGTACCCTGCATCCTTTAGGAAGATTTTGCTTTTCATTCATGCAGAGCCACATTTAGTAATATGAAGTGAAGTGAAGTTGCACAACTCCCAGAAACATGAGACAGTAAAGTAACGGTCATCAGTTCCATGTGACCTGGAACCAAGAATGACTGTGTTGGTGAGGATGACAGAAATTTCCCCAATTCACTGGAGAACCGAATGTGGATCTTATGAATTAACCTGATACCAAGATAGAAAATGATTTTGTGTTACAGATTTGCAAGTTGCAAGTTGCTGGGAAGAAAGTCGTGCCAGATTTGCCATTTGCATTTGAATGCTGCTGGGAAACCTGTGAGGAAACATTCAACAGTCCACAGCTGTACTTCAACCATGTTTACATGCATGTCTATTGGATCCCACGTGGTAGAAATGTGAAAGGCGGGTTTCCTTGCCCATGGCGTGGTGAGTTCTAATTTCCATATCATGAATTCTCACCACAGTTTATGTTAGCTGGATGCCACTTGTGCATGTATGGCTGTTGCTATAGCCAGGAGGATTGCAGTCACCTGTTTTTGCATGTCACAGCAGATTTGGAACATTATCATGCATATATATCTTCACAGTTTTAGGTATCTGAAGGCTGTAGTTAAAGTGCTCATGTTAGCTATGATTACAGACAGAGTTATCTGAAGAGTTAAAATTCAAAGGAGAAAGATACTGCATGTACTTCCGTCTTTTATGCATGCCTCTGCAGATGACATGTATCACAAAATGTGTGATAAGTATGCTAACTGGAGTAACACAAACATACAAAGTAATTAAATGAACAAAAAACTGTTATCTAATAATATTAATGTAACAGGATGCTTAAGTACAACATTCCTTCATATATTTCTCTTTAGCATATACGTGGTAGAGTCATTAAGTTCGTGGAATGTCGTTTTATCCCATCCTATTACAAAGTATTCACATACACTTATGCAGATCCACATCGGCCCTCAAAATAGTTGCTATTGGCCGCTATGCAAGTCTGCCAATGTTGATATAGCTGTCGAAAACATTGCTGAAACATATTGGCAGGAAATTCCTGAATGACACTTTGCGGCCATTCCATGAACTTATTAACTGTGGCAGTATAATTACTGCATTTCTTCAGGCTTCAATAAATAGCTGTCACACAACTAAAGTACAGTGTCATATTCACAAGGAAATTTAAATATCACTCAACAGGTGTGCAAAGAGATTAACTTTGATACTGAAATGTAAACTTTTTCATGTTACAGGTTGCATGTCCAAGTCTACCTACCGAACGGTATTCAAGCTGTTAGACCACATTAGAATCCATACAAAGGAGAAACTTGTGGGATGTCCACAGTGTGGTGGGCTCTTTGCAAGCAGGACAAGATTCGGTTACCACTGCAAGAGTCAGGTTCCCTTAGAATGTAAGTTATAGATCTTTATGCACACACACACACACACACACACACACACACACACTTGACAATGAAAGTTTAAATTTAAGATAGTGTTTTAGGGCAGATGTATATTTGTTTAAGTTTGGAACTGCATGATATATATTTTACCATGTGCAGCACTATTCACTACATGATGCTGTGATTTGTTGCAGTGCGATGTCCGTCTGGGGAACTGGTGAAGAACCAAATGAATAAGCAACACCACAAATGCCCCTTCTGCAGCCGGTCTTTCTCCTCTCCATCAAGCCTTAGTTTGCACATTCGGTACAGGCACCAGGATAGCAAGCCATTCAGATGCAGCTTTTGTGAATACGGGTTAGTAGAAGCCTCCTTCTTCTCACACTGAGTGACCGAGCTAGTTGGCTCAGATGGCAGTATTTCTGACTCTTAATTAAGAGGTACTTGGTTCTAATCTCAGCTAGAACACCAGCTTTTCTGGTCGTCTTTTTAATGGTTTTCCTAGATCCTCCAGGCAAATGCTGGGATGGTACCTCAAATTAGACCATTACAACTTCCTTGAAATCACTTCCACTTCATTATCCAGTTCGTATTCGTATTATGAGAGGGGCTGGGTTTCCCCATGCACTTAGACCAGTTATTGGCCCATTGTGCATCCCCCTTTAATTTTTACTGTCGCCATACCCCACCGGTAACGGTGCGTGCCATCAGCCCCCGTAGAGCCAACGAGGTCGGCCCTTGGTACCTTGATGCTTCCCCCATCCACCAGAGGCATTGGAGACTACTTGGGTGGGAAAGGCCTGTAATTTAGCTCAGAGGTCTCCTAGAGATATGAGGTTCTTTTACGTGCCGTAAATCTACGACACGGGACACGCGGCTTAAAGTCCCTCCCGGAGGACTTGTTCCCTGAATTTTTCTGCCCTTAAAAATTCCACGACCTCCGCCGGGTTTGAACCCACGTACCTTGAGTCATGAGGCGGGTCATTATCCAGTTACCGTTCTACTGTTTGACAGCACACAGTCTGAGATATTTGTAGCATTATTAAGTAAACCATAAGTAATTAATTAAACTGTGCCATCTCAATCTGAACAACATTTCTTGAACCTCATCTGGCATATTATCTATCCCAGTTGTGGTTGGAGTCTCTTCAGATGAATAATGAGATCATTTCAGTTACTCAGTGATTTTCAGTTCAGCATTTATGATCATCTGTACATCTCATTGATAGGCAGTCGAAACAGTGGTAAATAACCAGAAATCACTTGTGACTGGCCCTCAAAATAGCCTGTCACTTTGAGGAAAACATTCTGTTTTGTCCTGTTGCCATGATAGTGAGGAGCACACAAGCAGCACATTAACTTTGTCTGTGAACTAATTGACTTTCTCAGTGAAGCAAATGGTTTGCCTGATGTCACTGCCAGTCATTTCTGCTCACATCTTGACTCTACAGAGCCACTTATGACATTCTTACTTAAAGTGTGCCCTTATGTCTCTTTATGAAGAAATTAAGTTTTATAGAACTTCTCGAAAAGACTCATGGAATCTGAACAAAATTTAATAGTGAGAAATACTTAATGTAATTTGATTTCAGATTTTATCTTTAGCATGCATTTGATTGAATGAATATTTATTGCGATGCTTGTAGAAGTTAACTGAAGTTAAATGCCACTTTGGTTGCTGGAAGAGATCAGAAAGTGAAAGTTAACAGAGTAATTTGTTTGATGTATATTTTGTTTCAGAGCCAAGACACACCATGATCTGAAGGTGCACTTGAATAAACACCGCCCTGACCCACTTTACCACTGTGTGGAAGATCAATGCAATTTCTCATGTCGTAGCGCTTACGGACTTCAGAGACATTGTAACAAGGTATGTTAACTTGCATGTTATTTTATTGTATGAAGAAACTTTGGAGCTGAACTCACTAGAAATTGAAACATATTGCCACGCGACAAATAACTTCACGCCATCTTGGATATAGCGAATTTATTCCACTCACTCTTACATTTACGCAATTTACAGTTTCACAACTACTGCCATCTGCAGTATCACGGTTACTTTTCCTGCTGGAGTCACTGCCATTCACTTGATACAACTCAATAACAATGGACTCCAATTCACTCCGGCAAATGCTAGACTGCAACTGACTGGTTACTCCCTCTCACTGACAAATACTCCTGTTATGTAGCTTCCACACTGACAACACAGAAAACAGTTACGTGATAGCTTTCAGGGTTGCGTGACGTCATGTTTACCAATTGCCTAGCAACAGTCGCTGCACGGGCTCCCCTGTTGCATGACGCCATGTTTACAAAGGCGTTGCTGGGCAACGCTGCATAACAACTAACGCGCTTTGGCTCGGCTCGGCTTGGCACGGACAAGCACCACTTTCCTTACTGTTGCATAACCTCGTTTCCACTGTTGTATAACTTGGCAACCGACCGTTTATCAAAGGTCTGTCTTCGTGGTAACTTGTTCCACCTCCCATTGCCCAGCAATGGTTAGACATATCACAGTATCTTCATAAAGCCTTCTGTTTTGTCTTTGTTGATGTTTGCAGGTTTTGTTGCATTGCCATTGAGCTTCAGTATTCTGATTGGTAGGGGTGCTTGCAGCTCCAGGAGACTATCATTTCAAAACTGAACTATCCTCTTGAAACTGTGTCTGTCACTCTGCTATACCATAATAGTTTCTGTTTTGGAAAGTAGAAAGCAGGCTTCAGTCACAGCTTTGTATCTAGTCACTTTTTCTGTCAGCTTGATAAATGGTGCTGCACATCCTCATGGAATTTAAGTGCTTTCTTGTTGAATATTTGTGAAGTAGTCCATTCACCCATGTTAACTTCAAATTTCACACTTTACAGAACAGATGTAACAACCAACCAAATATTAGAAGAGAGAGCCCTTGAGTATGAGAGATCTAAAAAGTAGCAAAATGGTATGCACTACTAAGTGCACATAGAAATAGTAGCTGTCATCATCATTGTGTTTTCATCTTAGTGTAAATAAACCAGTCAGGTGGTAAATTCTAAAAAAATGGATAGAACTTCTAAATGTAAGTAAAAGTAAAGCTATCCGTGTAACAGGCTGTGAAGGCCCATAGGGTTGTGAGACGTTAAGGGTTCCCCATTATCTAGACAATCAGCTCAAAGATGGCGGTAAGGTTGTCAGCCCTACGCGCTGGCCGCTCTTCACTCCCCAGGAAAATCATTTAATTAATTCCTGGTACTCATTTCTGTTAGAGGCTGAGTAAACCCTAGGAAAATTAAGCATTACATCAGAGAGGGACAATGCAACAAATCAGATATGATCCACATAATTATCCACTAATTTGTGTTTTACATGTAGATTGACTAACTGAACTTTGGCCAGTGTATACCTGACAGCAGCAGTTCTGACAGTAAATGTAAGAGAGCCTGATGATGGCCAGTAGACTAAGATGTTTTGAAACAATAAAGAAGAATAAGAAGAAGAATTAATACAGCTATGTACAATAACTGAGGGGTACACAGTAGCATAGTTGGTTGAGGCACTGTGCTACAAGCTGGAAAGGCATGGGTTCAATTCCTGATAAGTTCATTGAATTGTTTCAAATTACATAATCGTTCCAGCTGCAATATGGCCCTGGGGTTGACTCAGCCCCCGACAGACATGAGTACCACTAAGATTCCTGGGGGATGAAGGGTGGCTGGCACACAAGGCTGACAACCTGTCTGTGAGGTGATTGTCTAGAAGATGTGGGAGCCTAGATCTCTCACACCCCTGTGGGTCTTCATGGCATGTTACAGGGATAGCTTTGCCTTTTTTTAACAATATCTGTACTGACAGAACTTCTGCTGTGTGTTTACTATTGTGTTTCATCATTGATCTGAAAGTTAATTTCTGCATGAAATCATAATAACATGTTGCTTTATGCTGTTGGTGTTTTAGTACCACCTTGGATGTGATCTGCTGCAGTACTGCTGCCACATATGTGACAGCCTGTTCGAACGTGGCTCCCAGCTGACGAAGCACCTTCGTATTCAGCACAGCGTCTGCAGGCCCCCAGGCCACTGCAGATTCAGGTTGGTTCAGATCACAAGAAGTTACTTTTGTCTGTGTGAGGATAACATTGCACTGTAACCTTGCCACAGAAATCACTAAGCCTGTGATGTAGGTGTGAGCACTACATTCCCACAAGAATACATACATTACAGGAAGAATTTGTGGCACTTTCTAACTTTAGCACTTTTTGCCCCCAGTATAATTCTACTGATCTGATGATGTATAGTTGTGAAAAAGTTATGCTAATGTAAATTTTGATGCGTTCACAATGTCTCTATGATTATAATTTATATCCTGAAACCATTTTCATTCAAACTGCATGGATACAATTACAATCCATTTGACTACACAAAATTTCTCATACCTACATACAGTGATTTAGTAGTTAATTGCGTAATGTAAAGTTGCCATTGTGTCTAATTAATTGTCACACCCTGGAGGCACATGAAATAGTGTAGATACAGTTCAGGCATTCATGGCACTCGATGGAAATTGTCAGTTTTTCTTGAAAATGTGGGTGTCATCCAAGAAAGAGTAAGCATAAAATTGAATATCCCTGATTTTCCATCTAAATTCAAACATATGCCACAATGATAAGATTTCGTTGTTCCCATGCCACGCAATTATGAACCATGATTACAGAGTACAGGATGATGGAATGTACATTACATTATTGGATCCAACCAATATCCCATTAAGGGCATGACAGTTTCTGGATTTAGAAAAAGAAACCAAAAACTGTTGATATTCTATGTTATTTAAGAGAGTTTTTATTAGTGGTTTTACATAGTAGATCGAGGGAAAATTTGAGATTTCAACACAGACTAAAGATTGACAGTTATACTAAACTTTTTTGAAGTGAGCTGAATGGCAGTTTTGTGCATAATAGGAACAAAGACCTTCATTACCCAGGGGAACTTCTTGTACAAGGTGCAATACCCACACATTAAGTACGGAATATTGTAATTCAGCAGTTACAAACATGGACATTGGTGTGAAATTTAAGGATGCGTTCAACAGATTTAAGGTAGACAGAATTTGTACATAATAAGTTGTGTACAATAATAATAGCAATAGATCTGTAGGACCAGCAACATATGAAATAACAAAGTGGGCTTTATGAATTCTGATCAGAACTCCTCATAATCAGCTGGACTGTTGATTCCAGATGGAGCTTCGTTTCATAAAAACTTCCTTCTGAAAGTATGAGTTTGATTATGAGATGAAAACTACAACCACATTCCTTCAGATAGAAGATCATTACAAGTGACATAAAACTTAATAGTTTTAGACATATAAGTATAGTGTTTTCTGAGTGTGGAATTTGTGGGACCCAGTTGTTTGGAGTCTGTCTCGAAATAGTTCTGTGGTGTATCTTGCTGGAACCTTGGAGGTAATGGAATTATTATTGTAACCCAACTCAACTGTTGCAGGTACAAGCGAGATGAGGATGGCTTCTTCCGGCTTCTAACAGCGGACACTACACCCAAGAAATTGATCGGGAAAGCCAGCCAACCACTGTGCGTCAAAGAAGATGATCTCCTGAAACAGGAGGCTGAAGGCAGGATTATGATGTCTATTATAGAATATGATTACGGGGGGAGTGTTGTCGCCAGGGAAGATATAGAGACGACAGAACTACATAGCTTGCCCCAAGGAAATTTTAAAATCATAGATGCTTTATGTTTTACAGTGTGAACTATTTGTTCCAATTATGTTGTAAATTGTGTAATTGAATCTCATAGTTGTTGTTCTTTTTATGCATGTCTATTAATATATCACAGTTCTTCTGTTTTCTGTATTTGAATCAGTTCCTTTTTGGCCAGATCATTTATTGTCTTATAATCTATGCTTAATACATTTCCTTTCCATAAATGTTTGTTATTTTGTAAATGCCTGTGGATATTTCATCAGTTTTACTGACACATTACTCCTGATTCTCTGTAATAGATTTCTATATTCTGCCTCCTTGATAAGGAAACAAAATGCTTCTCTGGTAAACAGTACTACTGCAGAAGAGTCTCAATTGAAATACTTGTGGGATGTCGATGTTCCAAGAGACAACCACGTAAAACTATAACAGGTGTATATTATTTACAAATGTACAGGATGGCTGTGAAGCCGCTTTGATATATATATACAGGACGTCCCAGGAGGAATGTGCCAGACTTCAGGAGTTCCTTATTTTAAAGTATGCCGATATAACCCAAAACACCTATGTCCAAAGTTGAATGGTTACAGGGATAATGGCCAGAGAAAAGTGTAATCTTCTGGCAAGTCCACGCACTACCTGTCAGCTGACAAGTCTTATCGATGTTTGTCCTTGAGTGTGGTGATTCACACTAGCCGTAAGCTTATGTGCTACCTTCAGGGTACGTTGTGGCCTCGTGAATGGTTGGTAAATTAGTTGTGCGAAGTTGCTGAAATGCCTTTTGTGTTTTCACACGTGGAATATTGTGATACGCACTTTGTGTATGGATTTTGCAGTGGCAATGCACGTGCTGCTGTTGAAGAATACCAAAGGCGTTTTCCCGATCGAAGGATTCCATCTCGAAGTGTATTTACGTGAATTCACCAGACATTGCATGATACTGGTTCTCTTCCGAATGTTTCTGTGCACTCTGAAAGGGAGGATATACGAATGAGAAACATGAGAGAACATTCTTGAGATGGTTCAGAGAAGTCTGCATATGTCCACTCATAGAATGGCCTCTCGCATTGGCGTATCATGTATGCAGGTGTGGCGAACTTTACATGATGAAGAGTTGTATCCTTGCCATGATCAAAGGGTACAACATCTGCAACCAGGCGACCATGCTCAGCGTATGGATTTCTGCCACTGGATAAAAGCTCATCCTGAACTGTTAAGCATCTTTTATTCAGTGATGAGGCGTCTTTTACCCAGGATGGTGTAAATAATTTACAAAATGTGCATATGTGGTCCCATAATAATCCACATGAGATAATGGAAATGAAATTCCAAAAGAGATTTTCTGTGAATGTATGGTGTGGTGTGCTTGGGAACAGTTGATCGGACCTTTTGTGTTTCACATCAATTTAACTGGAAACACGTATAAAGCTTTCCTGAGGAATGAGTTACCATGTTTGACGAAGACATCCCATTAACGATAAGGAGCCAAATATACTTCCAACATGATGGGACTCCCCCACATTAGTACACGAAACTAAGGTCGATTCACAAGAAGCACTGCGGGATCGTATTTTTGCAGCGGCAGAACACACACGTCACCATCCAGGCAATACTGCTTCTGCTACCCAATCCCTCATAATATGTGCCGAAAACTGCATTGCAGCTGGCGGAGGGCACTTTGAACAATTACTATAAAGCAGGTACTGCATTTTAGTAGTTATGTAGTCGGCTTATACCAGAATGCACAGTATGTGCTGACATAACAGTGCATAACCCTGAAAAGTGTAAACTCTTGCAGGAAGAGGTCAGGTACCTCAGGCATATTGCATCACCAGAAGGGATATCCACCGACCCGGAGAAGTTGAAAGCCGTGCGAGAATGGCCGACCCCAAAGGATAAACATGAAATTAGAAGCTTTCTGGGACTATATGCATATTACAGGCGATTTATTTCAGGGTTTTCCAACATTGCGAAACCACTAACGAAACCAACGGAAGAGAAACAAACCTTCCAGTGGACTCCAGAAGTGGAGGCCGCTTTTCAAACACTAAAGGATGCCCTATGTGCTTCCCCTAACAACAAATCTAATACAGAATTTGTCATGTATGTTTATGGTCAATCAACATACTGAATTGCATGTGCCTATTTATGACATTGAATCAGTTATTGTGAACAGATTGAAATGTACTGTAGCTTAAGCGCAGTTGTTGCCATATTAATGTTTGAAATTCTACAGAAACACAAACGTCATTTTTTTAAGACCTACGAATAGAATATATAGCAGAAAACTTGTGTTGCTCCCACCTCATAATTTGCATTGCTCTGAAGTTGTATTTGGGAAGTACCTGGTTTGAATCTTGTCTGGGTTACTGGCTATCTTCATTAAGATTTACATGGTTTCCTCATTCTCTATAAATGAAGCCATGGCTGCATCAATCCAGTCGTCATCTTCTCACCATTCATGATCTTCCAACATTAATTTGTGCTGCAGTTGAAACAGTGTTGTTAAATAATCAAGGAATCTTTTTCTTGTTTGTTGGCTTTTGCAGCTGGTGTTCAGTGTGCTTAGCTTTGTGGAATATACTGCATAAAATATTAAGATATTCCTTTTCAGCAAACAGTGCAGTTGCCTGTGGGTGGTTATTGGATGTGACATCATGACTGGGTGAAACAGAGGAGCAAGATGCTACCCAACAGGAAGTAACCACATGGCCAGACAATAACCATGAAAATGGCAACTGCAGTTTTTGCTGAAACATTGGAAAACTTCTGCATTCTATAAGTCCATATCTGAGAGCTGAATTTGTACATTCAATTCGTTCTAAATTTTTATCTGCAACATATTTCCATGACATTTAACTGATATAAATAAAGTGAAATAAGTATGAAAGCTGATAAATTCAGAAGAGTACTGACGGTAAGAACTCTAAATCACACCATGCAAAAAATCAGGAAAATTTGGAATAGTGTGAGTAGGCATATGAGTGTATTTTAACAACTGATTAGTATATCCCTTTCGAACCATGTTTTAAATTAGGCTAAAACATTGATACAGGCAAATCATATAGTGGAATCAGTACAAGGATGCTGAATTTTGCTTAAAGTATCTAAGACATGGATAATTGAAGTTGTTAAAATAATGCAGTTTGAGAAAATTGTTGCAGGATTGGCTTAATTTGTGTTCAAAATGCATTGTCCTTGATGCTGTAGACTCACATTCCACAGAAACATTATAATTTGATTCATATTACTTATCAGTGGCGTGCTGTACTATTTTTGGTAAGGGAAGTAGTGGTACGAACTGATAGCAATCAACTCACCAAAATTTACGTCACTTATTGAGTCAATAAGGTTGTTTTGTATTCTGTTCAATAAACCTGTAAATACTATAGTGTTCTCAAGGTGAACATTGAGTTTATGATCATATTTCCTCAACAAGTGAACTACTTCCACATAATTACCTCAGTCGATAGAATCCACGCTTTCATCATGACCACAGAGGCCAAATTGCCAGATGATATCAATCAAGCGTTTCAGTATTTCTCTATGTAGTATCGTCAGGCGCCTTTGATTGTCAAGTTGACAGTCAATTCGAGATTACCCAAACATAAGTTGCATTGTTGAAATAATGTGAGTCTGAGAGTTCTCATGTCATTTCAATTCTTTATGAAGGTTGTTGATATCACCAAACCCAGTCTTGTTCCATACATTTTTTCATTGAGAAAAAATAGGCATGGCCAACAAAACAATTTTCCTATATTACGGCAACCGAATAGCCATTCTGTGTTAGAATACTGCTCCAAATTAAATTTCCTCACACATAATTTGGTTTGTGCTTTAAGTTCTGGCAACTCTCATGTCGGTTGTCCTCTTTCTATAATTATTTTATTTTCAGAAAATTCACTACTATTAAACCCCCGTTTTAAAAGGCTTCCAATTGCACAGTCGCAGTCAAGTTGTCTGCCAGCATTCATTTTAGCTGTTGCCTGTGCGTGTAGTCTATTCACGCCCCTGCCCATCTTGCCGCAATATCAGACTTGCTTCCCTTAAACTCAGATTGCTTCTTTCTGATGCGTCAAAATATGATCACAAATACAATCTTACGCCATATAAATATGCACTTACAATATTTTAATGAAACTTAATGTTACCTATAACACCCAACAAGACTAAAATCACACATAAACAGTTAATTTTCACTTAACCATCGAAAGAACACACTCCTTCACTTCCATTTCACAGGCATTAGCCAGCAAACCGAAAGTTGCTTCCCTGCCCACTTCGTGTGAGACGAATTCTTACGGAGATTAACGCAGGAAACTTGGTCCGTCCCACCAGGCAGGGAAAGGGAGGAAGAGGAGGCATGTGGCCTTGAGCAGGAACACGCGCTAAATGACAGTATTGAAATCCTTATTATTCAAATTGAATTATTTATACATTACTTCTTTTATTTTCATTTCTTAACAACGGAAGCAATGCTTCCCTTGCTTCCATGCACGGCACGCCACTGTTACTTATATACATAAAATATGTATATACTTATTTCAGGATTACTATAAAATGGAACCATTTGCAAGTATTTAGTTAGTAATGCAACTCACATCCTCATGTATGCAGACCTGCATTCAAGATCCTTGTATTCTGTATGGAGTCTGTGTTAAAACTGAACCGGCACAGATTCTTCCAATTATCTGACACTCTATCAATTAGTCTGTTCATCTCAATATTACCAGTATGAGTGCCAAGGAACCAGAAAACCTGATACTATATAAACTATTAATGAAACAAATAAAAGGCAAAGGTAAAGATATTCCTATAACAGGCCGTAAAGGCCCATAGGGTTGTGAGATGTTGAGGCTCCCACATTTTCTCTAGACAGTCGGCTCACAGATGGCGGTGACGTTGTCAGCCTTACACGCTGGCCGCCCTTTACCCCCAGGAAGATCAGTGGTACTCAGTTCCGTTAGAGGCTGAGTGGACCCTAGGGCCATAGTGCAGCTGGAAGGATTAAGTAAATTGAAAAAAAAATCTACCTCATTGGGACTCAAACCTACAACATTCTGGCTTGTAGCATAGTGCCTGAACCAACTATGCTATCTAATGCCCCCATTAATGAAACAAATACGGTACTTAACATAGACATGAATTCACTTCCAATGCACTTTATGTACTTCACAGCCAGTGCATTTTACAGGTGGCAG